GTGTGTGTGCAGCTGTTCTTCTTCTCTTCATGTGAGAGGACGTCCTCAGGAGACACTGCGGAGCATCTCAGGAGTTCAGCGTCTGAAAGCAGCTTTACTAAAGCTTTCTCTCTAAACCCTGCGCTCACACTCGAAGAGTCTCTGCTCGCGCTCTAACTCTGTGATGCAGATCATGTTTCCTGTGCTCGAGCTTCAGCTCCTGAATTCTTTTTATCTGTGAAACAAGTCAGTCAAACTCCTCAACCCCTCTGGGTGTGTTAGCTTTATGTCTTTGTGCATCCTGCACGGGTGGTGACTGTCACCTGGCTAATGCACCTAAACACACACACACACACACACTGCTCTCTCTCTCTCCCCCTCCCTCCCTCCCCCTCTCCCTCTCTGCCCATGAGAGCAGTTCCAGCATCTTTCAGGAAATGAACGAGGGATGACAAGCGAAAGAGAAGCGAGTGCAGACGGCCTGAAACGATGATGTGATGAAGGAGCATCTGTTGCTCATCAGCGTCAGGAGCTTCTCTGGCTCGTGACCTCACGTGTCACCGGACGGATCAGAGTCCGTGTCGCTGGTTCTGACGTCTCCTCAGAGAGGATCAGTTTCACACCTCGGCTGTTGAGGTCGAGTGGTTTTATTAGAAACTGACGCTCGCGTTTCCGTTTCACCTCGACCGCAGAACGGCTTTGATTTGATTTCCTGTCTTTTCTTTTTTCTTTTCCCCTTTAACCCCTCCCCCCCCCTTCCCTCAATTTCCTTTTCTTGTCCCAAACCAATTCTTTTCTTTTCTCTCTTTATCCTTTACTTTGCTTTTGGTCTTTTGTATTTTCTCAAATCCACATTCAATATAAATCCCAGAAATGCAGAAGCTGATGTTTGTACCTCTGTCCATGTGTCTGTTCATTGGTTTGTTGCATTATGGGTCAGGACATGGAGCCGTCCACGGACTTCCTGTAGAATGATTCACGGATCCAGATGTCAAAGATCTGTTGGAGGAGTTTTGAGCTCGACTCAGTGACACTGAGTTAAAGTTATTTTTAATCACGTGAATTTCTTCTTCTTCATGTTTCCTGCAGCTCTTCCACGTGGCCTACGTGCTGATAAAGTTCGCCAACTCTCCTCGTCCGGACCTCTGGGTTCTGGAGCGATCCACCGACTCGGGTCAGACCTACCAGCCCTGGCAGTACTTTGCCTGTAAGTAGAAGCACATACGTGTATATTTACCTGTACTGTACATGCTCAGTACACCGACACTCCAGATGTCAGGTTGTGACGACCAAGTCAGATTCCATCAGCATCGCTTCATGTTTTCCTGTGACCTCCCCCAGAGTTCAGTCTGATTCCCCCTCCTCCCCCGAGGGAAGCCGCCTCATTGGTTTGTTGGTCAGGTCAGAGGCGGGACATCATTACATCATAGAGCTGCCAGCTGAGTGTATATGGCGGCTGTCAATCCAGGTGGGCTGCTGGGAAATTCCAGACATGTTCCGCCAACAGGTCGCAGCTCGAAGAACAAAACACGCACACACACACACGCACACACACACACACACACACACACACACACACACAGACACAGAGACACACACTGGTGTACACATTGGAACTTTGTCTACATCAATCAACCTTCAGTTTCAAAGTAAAAGCACTTGCTGAGTGTTTCCTGTAACACAATGAGTCTCTGTGGCGTCCTGCTGCAGGAGGCGGGGCCTAATGTTAGCTGTCTGCTCTGATTGGATCAATGGACCAGTGTCCCTCTCATTAACGATTACTTATTAAATATTAAGAACAGTAAGTAGATGAGTGATGAATAAACTGTCCTGTTCAGATGCAGAATAAAGTTAAAGTCTCAGCCACAGACTTTTCATTTGGTCTCTTATCCTCTCAAATCGAGGCCGTCCTGATTTTTTATTTTCATGTCTCCACGCCGGCGACACCCGGTGGCCGGAGGCGTTAAGTTTCCACGTTGTCCGTTGGTCCTTGTGAACACGATATCTCAAGAACCACTCGAGGGAACCGTCTCAGCATTGGTTCAAATGTTGACTTAGATGCACGGATTAGCTGATTAGATTTGGAAGGTCAAAGGTCACAGTGACTCTTTCTTTCTGTGTTTTCTTCACGACGCCTCAAGAGAATCTTTTTCACATCTGCAACAAATGCTCTCAGAGACGCCCAGAAGAAGTGAGGACATGTGTTCTTGAACGTGACATCTCAAGGAAGACTTCAGGGAATGTCTTCAGTGGACGAAGGTCACGGTGACCTCAGTCTGGAGACAACTCCGCTGTTCATCTGAGTCTTTGGATGAAGTCATTCTTAAAAGTTTTCATTCAGTAGAAGTTTATTGTGGGATGAGTTATATTTGGAATCAGAGTTGTGTTGTCAGCAGTTTGTGTTAAGAGCAGAGTTTGTGAAGCAGCAGCTGAAGATTGTGTGTTAGAGCTGCACCGATCACAGACCCTCCTCTAATCATCTCGTCTACACCTGTGTGTGTGTGTGTGTGTGTGTGTGTGT